ACTTAGGAATTGTTGTTCACAAGAGTACTGGAGAGCCTCCTGAGAATATTAAGTATAGACATTGTGCTAAAGGAAAGATACTTCCTAATGTCAATAGGAACAGGACACAAGCAATGACCAGAAATGCATAGAGTTGAGGAAGCCTTCACATTTTCTTAAAGTGTTGCCTGGTTGTTTGATTTCTAGTTCTCCTATAACAAACTACTAAATAGACTATATGGGCCTATGGAATATTATTACCAAAGCACCAGAACCTTTTAACTTTGGTGCTTTTCTTCTTTAAATTGCATCTGAGACTGAACAGGTCTCTAAAAGTTCAAATGTTGCATTGCCTTCTAGTTTCAAGGACTGAGTAGACACATGTTTGTTGATCACTTCAGATATGTTCAAAAATTAAAATCTTAGTCCAGATGCAATGAATCATGTAATTGTTAGTACCAAAATCTTGTTTGTTTGTTTTTTTATCATTATTCTTTTGGCATCTCAATTCTGCTTATGCTGAGGGATAGTTATGTCCTACCAAACGTATGAGAGATGACTATTTCTGCATTAAAACATCTGCCTTTAATATCCCAGGCAGCAAAGAGCTAATGTATCTTGAACATGGCCTATTGCTTTAATATGATTAGGAGCCTGTGTAGGGGTTCTTAACCATTTTTTGTGACGTTGACCCCTTTGACAGTCTAATGAAGCCTTTCTCAGAAAGATGTTTTAAAATAACTGAAAGCAACATTAAATTTCATTTAGAGGTAATGTATGTGGTCATTCTTCTGGGCTATAGCATCCTCATTGTAATCAGCATCCAGGACATCCACCTCCACAGTCCCTTGTACTTTTTCCTTAGTAATGTCTTTTTCTTGGACATTTGCTGCATATTCAGCTTTATTCCTTGATCTCTGATCAGCATCTTATCTCACAGAAAAAAACATTTCCTTTTCTAGATATGCAGTGCAGAAATTTCTTGGCTCAGTTATGCAGACTTCATAGTGCATGCTTCTTGGCAGGATGGATGACTTTTATGTGAGCATCTTAAATCTGCAAGATACCTCACCACCTTCAGTAAGATTGTATGTGTGCCAAATGGCAGCTGGGTGCTAGTTAGGAGATGTCCGTTCACTGGTGTAAACAGTTTTTGTGGTGTAGTTATCTTTCCGCAAAAATTATGTCATCAATCATTTCACATGTGAAAGCCTTGCTGTCAAGAAACTAGCCTGTGCTGACCTCTTTGGCAACAAATTTACAATGCTGGTGGCCAATACATTATTCATTTTGACTCTGCTGTTGTAAATCTTTGCCTCTTGCACATTTATGGTAGCCAGTATCCCAAAGACCCCTGAAGAGAGAAACAAAGCCTTTTCTACCTGTTCAGCCTAGCTGATGAAGGTAGTGTTTTTCTATAGTACTATTCTGCTCATGTAAATGAAGCCCAAGCCCAAGGAATGACTTAATGCATATAAACTATAAGGCACAGACAAAATCTTTCCCTGTTCTACATGGCCATGACACCTATGATGAATTTTTAAATCTATAGTCTCAGGAAGAAGGATATAAAACAGGCAGTGAAACATCTGTTAAGAAGAAGTTCTTTAGCAAACAAATCTAAAAGGCCTCGTGCTTTGATCCATTTTATGATAGGAACCTAAAGAAGAAACATAGACAATAAGTATGGTTCCTCCCTCCAATATTCAGATCACAACCCATCCATGCCTACTCACCCTGTGCTACTCTGTTTATGTGCTACTGGCTATTTCCCATAGGGAATCTGCTCCCTGTTCTGTGGGTCTTCCTTTAAAGTTTTTGGCTTTACATGGATACCATTGGAGTAGATGAACTGTCCATCAGTAATCTGTCAGACTCACTTCATGATCAGTCTGCCTCCTTCTCCAACTACATATCCCTCTGATGGCATGCTTTCTGCTATTTTTCTGGTTTGATTCCTCATTGGTGAAATATTAGATGCTGCTCACAATCACTATTCACCTCTCCATGGCCCTTTGACTGTCTTTACATTTTTACTCTTCAGAGATGAGTGTAGAGAAACATTAAGAAAATACAATTGGTAGAGGGAGTAAGAATTTCTGATTCTTATGAAACTGAGGGAGAAAATAAAAAGAAAAGGTTAAAAAAAGGAAAAGAAAAGGAAAAGAGAAGAAAAAAGAGAAGAGGAAAAAAGTGGAGCAAAGAAAAGAAAAGCTCCCTACTCTGGATGGGGTATGATCTTACTGAGAAGAATGGATAATACAGCTTCAACCAATGAACAACTGGAGGTAGGGGATGGAGAAGGTACTTGAAGAGCTATCCTCTATTCCATGCTTCCTCTTGTGAAATTGATTTTTAATAATAATAATTGCTAACATTTATAGAGTGCCTACCATATGCCAGAAAGTATGCTAAGTACTTTAAAAATATAATTTCATTTGATTCTCACAACTCTGAAAAGTAGGTGCTATTAGTGATTCCATTTCACATTTGAGGAAAGGAAGACAGGTTAAATGATGTGCCCAAGGTCACACAGCCAGTGAGTGGCTAAGGAAAGATTTGAACCCAGGTCCAATGTTCTATTCACTGAAGGACCTGGCTGCCTGCCTTTTTTGTCCTCTAACTGCTGGAATCTAAATTTATCTCCAACGAATTTTTTTTGATACAGTCCAATGCTCTAGTCTTTCAGGATTTGGATCTTGACTCTGTCATCTACTGTGTTAACTATCCATTCCAGCTTTGTGTCATCTGCAGACTTCATCAACATACCATCTATCCCATAGCATACCATCTATCTGTCACAGACCAAAATGTTAAACACTATAGGACCAAGTAATTCTGTAAAGAAGAAACAGAAACTCAATAATCACATGGAGAGTGCTCTAGATTTTTGGTAATCAGAAAAACACCAATTGCATTAGCTCATTGAATTCACTTGACCTCTATCCAATTTGGAGATACAATAAAAGGTAACAAATTCAATACTGGATATCTTTTGGAGCAGCTCTGGGGATGCAGGTTTACATTTATGAATTGGTCCTATTATTTTTATAGTAAGAATTATTAAAATATGAATTAATAGACACCCACTGTCCCTACTACTGTGACTATATCATAAGAATATTATTGAAGAGAAAAATTACATAAATATTTCTACAAATATATTTTATGTGGATATAAGTACATCACTACATATACAATGATGTACACATATTTATATAATATATATGGTGTATATATTATATTTAGTTATACATCTATTATCTGTGTGTGTGTGTGTGTGTATATATATATATATATATTTCCAGCTATATTTTTGTGACAGCAAAACACCAGAGAGAACATGTGGACAAAGTTGGTGTCTATTAGTTGGAGAATGACTAAATAAATCATGATATATTGATGTAATGAAGTATTATTGCATTATAAGAAATAATAAATATAAAGAAAATTAAGAAATATTGGAGGGATTCTATAAAGTGATGCAGAGTGAATAAAGTGGAACCAAAGAACAAAATGCTTGATAACACTTTTTTTGTTAAAGGCGATGTTAACTGCCAAAAGTTCATGTTACACACAAAATAGGTAAATGTTAAAAGGGTCAGGAAAACAAGAATGGTGACCATTATACTCCTCTATTGTAATAAAGTTAATATATACAGCTTCTTTTGGAGGGAAGTCTAATAACTACTTAGTAATGAAAGTTTGAGACACACCTTTGTCTCAGGTTACATGTTTTCTCACTGTTCTCTTATTCATATATTTGAATATTTATAGTTGTCTTTTGAATTCAAAATAAAATGCATTAAAATAAGAAACAAAATTATTTAACTATTTCACATATCATTTAAAGTTATTGTGATTTTGAATGTTTCTATTGATGGCAGTTACATTTTTAATAAAAATAAGAGAGAAAATTTAATAAAATCAAGGAATATTAAAAGTGGAAGTGTCCATTAGAGATCATTTAGTATAATTCCATTTTACTGATAAAGAAACTAAATCACAAAGAGAAGTGACCTAGCCAAGGTATTAATGTTTCATGCTTTCAAAGTACAGTTGAGGTATCTCCTTATGGTGAAGAACAATCCCTCAATTTGTACTTTTAATTTAAATAAAAATCATGGATGAAGTAAGAGCCACTTCGTAGTTCTATAAAATTATACATTCCTTATGGAAGATCATAAGACCGTTGAAAACTAAATGATCAATAATGAAGAATGAGACAGTGTCGAAGTGTTGTGATCATTATTAGAACACAGAGTTTCTCCTATGTGCCTTCTAATTCCTAATTATTGATGTCCATTTCCTTCATTAGTCTTCCATGGTGAATCTACAGTTTAACAAAGTTATGAAATGACTACTAGCTCATACATCATTAAAAAAAAAAAGAAATAAAAGATGTCAGCATGATCTACTTTGAAATCAAGAGCCAACATAACTTGCTATGTGGCTCTTGGCAAATCCCACCCCATTCAGTTCTCATTTTCCCCCCAGTGATGTAATTATAGTGGTCCCTCCCACCCCTGCAAAGTGTTATTTAGAATTTTACAGCAAACATTTTGTTCAACTATTAATATGAGCATATTATTTTTTGTTTCTGTTAATGTGATAAATTCTTCCTCTACATCCTCTCCTGATGCCTCAGGATGGAATACAATTAACACAAGGCTTTCAAAGGCAATGTTGACAGCACAGACTCTGGCAGGGTTCTCCCATGCTGCAAAGTCTGGGAACACACTTGGTGACTGGCTTGTTTAAGGGCCAACACAGGTACTGTAAGTCCAGAGACTCAACACCAGCAATCTTATCATCATGTTTTCCTTGAGAAATACTCGTGAAATCCCCTACTAAATCACGGTGGACCTAAGTTATACAGTAATAGAAGAAACACCCACACAAATGACATGTATACCACATATATGATATACATATATATATATATATATATATATATATATACATATACTGTATTCTAAGAATTGATTTTCTTGCCAATGATAAACTCAATACCAAGTCTTTCAGAGTCTCTGAGAAAAGACATTTCTGCTCAGTAGCTTTTTCACAGCTCCTTTCACTTCTTTATTTCTCAAGCTATAGATAATGGGGTTTAGCATGGGAGTCACCACCCCATAAAACAAAGTTATGAACTTATCAGTTTCCTGTGAATCCCCCGATGATGGCTTCAAGTACATAGAAAGGGCAGTCCCATAGTACAAGATCACCACTGTAAGGTGAGCTGAGCAGGTGGAAAAAGCTTTACTCCTTCCATCTGCTGAGTTGATTCTTAGAATAGTAAAGAGAATAAAACTGTACGAGATGCAAATTAAAAGCATTGGGATTGGAAGGAGAAGCACACTGACCACCAACATGATCACGTCCATGGCCAATGAGCTTGTGCAGGCTAACTTCAGCAGTGCTAAGATTTCACATGTAAAGTGATTGATGGAGCTCCCACAGAGAGGCAACTGCAGGGCAGAACTTGTTTGAAGCAAGGCAGTAAGCAACCTGTTATCCAGGACCCAGCTGCCATCTTCAGACAGACACTTTTGTTCATGATGATAGGGTACCTAAGAGGGCGACAGATTGCCACATACCGGTCATAGGCCATCACAGCAAGGAGTAAACACTCTGTGGACCCCATGGCAAGGGAGAGATACATTTGCAGGGTACACCCTGTAAAAGGAACAGTATTTCTTTTTGCTATGAATTTCACCACCATAGGAGTGACAGAGGAAGTTGTATAACAGATGTCCATGAAAGAAAGATTGCTGAGAAAAAAGTACATGGGAGTGTGAAGGTGCAGATCCAGTATGCTGATTGTAATGAGAATGCTGTTACCCAGTAAGGTTACCAAGTACATTAAGAGGCACAAGGTAAAGATGATGATTTCAAGTTTGGGGTATTGGGAAAACCCCTTCAGGGCGAATTCTGTGACTATACTCCAGTTCATTTCAGTCTCTTATCCTCTGTCTTACATCTGAAAGAACGGAGAGAAAATATTACATAAGCAGCATCATTATTACACATAAAATGTACCACTTTATCTTGTCTTTTATGACATTTAACCCTTTAAGAAGATTCTCTTAAAATATACACTCTTCCATAGAAGTAAAGAGTCACTTTTAGAAAGAATAGCCAGCAACTAGAAAATCAGTTTAATGAATAAAACTATAACAAAGTATCAAAAGCAGCAGTCTAATCATAGGATGATAAGCAAGGCAAAAGAAAGGAAGGGGCAGATTCAAAAATACTGGATTCATCTTTAGGGAAGAATTGGACTTGATAACATCCTTAGGAAAAGTTCCTTTCATCTCTGAGATTCTTTCATTCCTCACGGGAAGACAGGATGAGGTCCGGGGCTAAAATTCCAACTGCTATCCTTACTACCTAAGGATATTATTATCTAAGGATCTGGCCTCGGCCGAGTCACTTAACCTCTATGGGACTCAGTTTCTTCATCTGTAAAATTATAGTGTTGGACTCAAATATCACTTCCAGCTCTAAATCTGGGATCCCTATAATATATTGACATGTTGACCTCTGAAGCAAGTACCTTAAAATCTGATTTATCTTGAATTTAGAATAAGAGGGAGACAAGACATAATTAATAGCCTAAATAGGCTTAGACTAAATTCTAATTAGTCTGTGGTATGGAAGGGAGAGATTGGAAACAGAGACAACATTCAGGAACCATGGCCATAGGTAAAGAGTGAGAAAATGGCAAGGGCCATGGCCAAGAATGGATAGATTTCTAAGATTCTTCTCTGGAAATAAATAAATGGGAAGACTTAGCTACTTCCATATTGCAGAGAGAGAGAAAAATAAAAGCAAACTTGATTCTGATATTTAGAGTTTGGCAACTGAGACAAGTCTCAAAGTAATTGCTCCTAAACCAGTCATCTTCAGGCATTGAAGGTCACTGTCCTATTTGTTTTTATTGGCTATCTAGTTCTAAGGAGTCATGTAATGACTCTTCATGTGTACTTTGATCTGAAATATACCTAACAAGCAGAGGCAGGCAGGACAGAGGTTGTCCAAGTTCATGCAGATAGCAAATGTCGGGTAGGATTTGAAGCCAGCTCCTCTGACTTCAGAGCCAGGACCCTTTCCACCATATCAAGTTGCTTCCCTTTACTTTCCTCATTATGTGACATGACAGTTTATGACTAGGTGACCTGTGTGTGTGTGTGTGTGCGCGCGCTCATACATATATATATATATATATATATATGTACACTCACACACATATATGTATACATATATATACACACACACACATATATACATATATATACATATATATATATATATATATATATATATATAAAATCCTTTTTCAATGGAGTAACAATAATAGAATAAAAAAGGTTTTTATTATTTTTTTTTCAGAATCTGTTTTACCTCTCATTCTCCCCTTCAGACTATAGGTAAAAGATTGAGCATGAAATTCAGATTGAGTAATAAAGGAAGAACACAAATATGTCTATTTCCTGTGAACTTACTGAGGAAGGCTTTAAGTAGACGGCTATGTGGTACATTGAATGGAGCTCTGCCTCTGCAGCCAGGAAGACTTGAGTTTAAACTGGGCCTCAGACAATCACTAGCTATGTCACCCTGGGCAAGAACCTAACCTCTCTTTTCCTCAATTGTAAAAAGGGAATAATAATAATAGCATATACCTCCCAGGTATTTCCGGAGTTTTTGTGCATGTCAGATGAGATATTTATAAAGTACCTAGTGCAGTGTCTGGAACATAGTAGGTGCTTAATAAATGCTTTAAAAAGTGTATAACATAAAGTCACCACTATCAAAGAGTCTGCATAAAAGGAAAAAAAAAGTTTTGCTTCTGTGTCTAGAGGAGTTGAAACTTTGGTGATTGGAAAGGATAAAAACGTAAAGGACACAAAAGAGGAGTGTTGGAATAAGAAAGAAGAATGTTGATTATGTCATCGTGAGAAACACCAGCCTACTGATACTTATACCAGCCAGCTTGAAGGTGGATAGGATTTTGGAGGAGGAATGATGAATAATACTATGGTCACAAAAAGTCAAGTAGGGAAGTCATGACTAACATTTGTATTGCACTTTAAAGTATTTAAAGTACTTTACACATATTATCTCATTTTATTTTACTCTGGGACGTAGGTATTATTATCATAATGCCTGTTTCAAGGATGATTCTGTTGGGGGGCAGTTAGGTGGCTCAGTGGATAGAGCACTGGCCCTGGAGTCAGAAGGACCTGAGTTCAAATCTGGCCTCAGGCACTTGACACTTACTAGCTATGTGACCCTGGGCAAGTCACTTAACCCCAACTGCCTCACAAAATGCGAAAATCAAAACAAACAAAACAAGGATGATTCAGTGGGAGGGTCACACAACCAGGAAGTGTAAGAGGCAGGATTTGAACTTAGGTCTTCCTGACTCCAAGTCCAGCACTTTATTCATTGGATCATCTAGTTATCTCTAGTACAGCATAGAAGTTGATTACACCAGAGCAGTTAGGCTCCCTGTCAACCTGGGTATGGCTGTCATCTGTCCACAGTCCCTATTGCAGAGGTATGCTTGCAAAAGACTAACAGACACATCTTCCTCCTCCCCAAACCACATGAAAGACATGCTTTAAAATTTAACCTGCATTATTAACATTTTCTTCATCAGTTACTGAAGTCTAAACAATCAGCAAAACAATAAGTCCAGGCCTGATTTTAACTTGCCAATTCCCAAAGAGTAAGTGCTTACATGGAAAATTTAACACTTGTTTTTTTGCAAACTAGTAGGAGCTCTTTTCAGCATATTCCTTCATTACTGTTCATGGTTAGGGTTATCTGAGGGGCTCATAGATTATGAGGTATCAGTCATATGCTATCAAAGCTAGGAATGTACACTGTGGACTCCATGGTAAGGGACAAGGGACAAGGGCAGTATGGCACATTCAGAGAAGTTGACAACTCTCCCTAATGAGATGCAGTGTGGAACAACAGATAGAAAACTGGCTTTAGACTCAGGAAACCCTGAGTTCAAGTCTGGCCTGTGACACACACTGGCCATGAGACCCTGTGCAAATCCCTTAACAACTTCCTCTTCTTCTTCTTCTTCTTCTTCTTCTTCTTCTTCTTCTTCTTCTTCTTCTTCTTCTTCTTCTTCTTCTTCTTCTTCTTCCTCTTCCTCTTCTTCCTCTTCCTCTTCTTCCTCTTCTTCCTCTTCTTCTTCTTCTTCTTCTTCTTCTTCTTCCTCTTCTTCTTCTTCTTCTCTTCTTCTTCTTCTTCTTCTTCTTCCTCTTCTTCCTCTTTTTCCTCTTCTTCTCTTCCTCTTCCTCTTCTTCCTCTTCTTCCTCTTCCTCTTCCTCTTCCTCTTCTTCTTCTCTTCTTCTTCTTCTTCTTCTTCTTCTTCTTCTTCTTCTTCTTCTTCTTCTTCTTCCTCCTCGGCATTTGGGACTTACCCAGGGTCACACAAGTAGTAAGTGTCAAGTGTTTGGTCTGGGGCTGGATTTGAACTCTGGTCCTCCTGACTTCAGAGCCAGTGCTCTATCCACTGCATCACCTAGCTGCCCCTCCTTAATTCCTTTGTGCCCTCAAGCGACTCTCTAAAATGATAAATTTCAGAGCAATTGCTGGGGTTTCCTCATACAAAGCTCTCTGCTCTAATTAATGAAATCATAAGTCCAGACCAAAAAAAAAAACAACAAGTAAACAAAAAAGAATTTGGATAGCACTAGATAGCAGTGAAAGTTGTATAATGCATGTTCCTTGTATAAAACAAGGAGATTTTATTGAAGATGAAGCATGTGAGACTGTGAAGACAGGATCTAAGGTAGAAACTCTAATCAGGACAATATCGTACGGTAACAGTACCAGGTACAAGCATTGCCTAACTTTGGGTTAAGTGGAAAATCTCAGGAACAGGAAATCTGTCACAATCATCTAATTGGTTGTACTCATTTATTTTTTCATATGTAAAATTCAGAAAAAGATAGATTATTAAATGAAGGGAATATAAATGCCACACATTGTCAGGAGCTGTATTTTCTGGTTTTACTATTAGGCTAAGTCCTAAACACCATGCTAGTAACCATTGGTGGCTCCCTATTGTATCTAGGATAAAATACAAATTTCTCTGCTTGGCATTTAAAGGTCTCTACAATCTGGCTCTAGCCTGTGTTTTGGGGTTGATTACACATCCCTAGATCCCCTCCATCTCACTCCAAGCAAACTGACTTACTGACTCTTCTTCCTATATAACATTTCATCTGAATCCAGCAAGAAGGATCCTTTAAGCACCTATTATGTGCCAGTTGTTGTTATTTCAGTCATGTCTAAATCTTTGTGACCCCATTTGGGATTTTCTTGGCAAAGATACTGGAGTGGTTTGCCATTTCCTTCTCCAGCTCATTTTACAGATGAAGAAACATAGACAGATGGGGTCAAGTGACTTGCCCAGGTTCACACAGCCAGGCCCAGATTCAAACTGAGTTCTTCCTGACTCTATGCCCATTGCTCTTTCCACTGTGCCACCTCACTGCAAAGTGCTATGCTAAGTGGTAAGGATACAAAGACAAAAGTAGAACAGTTCCTGTTCACCCCTGTGTCTTCCCAGAGATTTTGCCAGGTGACTAGAATGCTGTCTCTCCTTATCTCCATTTGGAAATTCCAGCTCCCTTCAAAGATCAGTTCTTTTAAGATATTTTTTTTGTATTTTCCCTAGTTGTTAGACAATCCTACCTAACATTACTTTCTGCTTATTCTCTATATGTGCCTACATACATACATGCATACATTCATACATATATATTATATATATATTCAGGATATATGTTTACATATACGTGTATGCATATATAGTTACTTACCTTTGTACATGTCATTGCCCCTTCCTCCCCTTGAAGAATGTAAACCCTTTGCGGGTGGCACTATTTGATTTTTTCCCTTTGTATCCTCTGTACCTAGCAT